ATCGAAATTTCATCCCTGAAAAACTGCCAGTATAAATCTATATATATTTTTCCAGAATTTAAATTCAAACTAATAGATTTTTGCTAAAAACACAAGTGAGAATAAGTCTAAAAAAATGGGTATCTCCATAATTTAAATTCTAATGAGTCTTTGTATTTGAAAAAATTTGAAATGCATTCCTACTTACTCCACGGGGGGTTGCAGGAATGTCTGTTATATATATAGTACAGATAATATTATAAAGAAAGTTATATGAAATTTTAATCTCTATACATTCCCTGATATTGGGTGTAAAATTCATATTTATGGACCTAAATTATTTTTGTATCAAAAAAAGAATTTTAAATAATCTTCGAACCAAAATAATTTTAAGCAAAAGATACACGTGTTCCTAAAAAGGAATGATGGTTAAATTTGAAAATCTTTATTTGTATGTTCTGCTTAAGGTATAAGAATTCCATAGGTTCAAGTTTATAATTTAATTTGTGAACCAAATTTTATTAAAAACTAAAGATGCTAGAAGCATATAAAATAAACATTTTTGAAATTTTACTATTGTTCCTTTTTAGGAACCCAATTATGTTTTCCTTAAAATTATTTTGGTTCCTATTTTTTTTTAAATCTCTTTTTTATATATAACATTCATGTAATGCTTTTTAGGTTTTATACAAACTTTTTATATTTCTTTATATATTAGAAACAAATTTATATTTTTTATAATAAAATGTTATACACAAATATAAAATTTGTTATTTTAGATCCTGGAAAAATTTTCAAACGTGCATCACAGATTTTGAATTAGACAAAACTTGCCAAATTTCTCGTATTGACAATCTCCCTTTTCATCGCGAAAATATTAAAAAACAAGTATATAATAATTATGTATTTTATCATTTATTCAATAAAAATAAAATGTTGAAGTAAATACATTAAAATCCCTAAATATTTTATGAATTTTGTAAAAATATATATTGCTCAAGATAAACATTTCGTGTACAGACAGGGATTTTAGATTTCCACCTAATATATCTCCACCCTCAAATTATCAAACACCAATCCCGATAAGAAATAGTGCTGGAAGAAGATTAAAGAGAGGGTATAGAGATTTAGGATGTCCAAAATTTGTGGATTTTATTATGACAGCGGTTCAAGATATGATTAACTTTCGATTATAAACCGATGCTTTTTAGTTAATTATTATTACAAAATATCTCATTATTAATACATTAATTTACAATTATATATTTATACTATTGTTATAAATTAGGTAAATCAAACCATAAATATAGTAGGGTGATAACGAATTTGGTCTTCATAATACCATATTGTATGCATAATAAAAATTTATAATTTAAAAAAAAAAATTTACATATGATTCTGAAAAAAAAAATCATCTTTAAACCTTATTTGAAAGAAAAGGGAAATATATTGAGCATATTAACCCCACACTAAAATCTCTAGTGTTGTTTAATGGCCCGATTAATATTTTAGCAAAAATAATATTATCTAAGCCTCGAGATTTGGTAAATAGATGTCTAAACCTTTTTTGACTATCAAAATCCAACAAAAAAAAACCGAATTATTCTTTATTAAAAAAATTAAAATATTTAAAAAAATTTTTGTCGGAAAACTATGCACAAAAAAATCACAAGTTGTATCGCCATTTTGTTTATTATGCAGAATAATGGGATTCGTTGGTATATCCTACCCGATCTAATTCATATTCAACCACACGTGATTTTTATCTTACACTTCATTTTTCAAATTCGAAAAGAAAAATTTTAATATCTAAAAAAATAGTGGTCCTTGATTTAATACATATTATTAATAATATGACTTATAAGGAAAAAGTTCTCTGTAAATTGTTGTCACCTTATGCATAGATATCCGCCCCACTACATGAAGATCCAAAATATTCGCCTTATATTAATAACTCTCGCCTGCCTATTTTTTTTTAAAAATTTATATAATAATTTAATCACATATTAAATATTAAAATTCGTGAGATAAATTTCTTTATTTCTGAAAGAAATATAGCAAATTAATTAGCTCTAAGTTGATATACAGTAGACATGTATTATGTAAATGTAAAAATATCGGGGTTTATAAGCCTACTCTAAATAAAAAATGTCATATAATTAATTCTAAAGAGGAAAGGGCATGTCACTTTTTCAAAAATATGATGCGATAAGAGAGCAATTTTCCATATTAACTTTTCAATAAGATTGCATTCTATGAGAGAAAGATTTGAAATTTTGTTTACATCGTTATATTTAATATAGCCTAAAGAGAAAGTTTTTGAAAAATATTTTTTAATTGACTTTTAAAATATGTAAATTGCACAAAGAAATAATGGAAGAACACAATATTAAGTTTACAATCACTTGTTCAATATAAGCTTTGAGTCTGTACCAAATGGAGTTATAAGACCCCAAGCAGAAGACTTCTATCCTAATTGTTTAAGAACCAATAGGTTTCCAAATATTATAATAATATTGGGTTGCATGAATGCAAAAGCCTTAATGAAGTAACGCTAATTACATCTTCCGGCAAAATGAAGGTATTTGTTGTACTGTAAAGATCATAATATTCATTTGTTACCATTCTCCCGATTTCATTCTATTGAAAATTTACGAAGTTTCCTTAAATGAGCCTAAAAGCAACGACAAAGATATTCTGCGTTTTAATTTTGTAAAACTTATAACAAACCCATAGGTAGTGCTTAATTAGTACATTTATGTTTTAATTTGAGATAGTTTAAAGGGGGGAGGGGTGGGGGAGATAATAATTGGAAAAATAAAATATAAATTTTCTAAAATTAGCATCATGTTTGAAGTTATATATTTATAATTTGCGTTATTATATAGTTGCCATACTTTTTAATTATTTAAATCCTATAAGTCCCCTTATGAAATTAATATTATGCAACACATTATTTAAGGAATATTTTATTCAATTCATATATAGCACAATATAAAAAAAAAATCAAAATGGCTGCATCAAGTGGTTACAATTTTGTCATTTTCCCATAGAAATTCTTTAAACAATTTCTAATTTAAAGGTAATTGAACGAATTTGCAATATACTTTGCATATATATCACTCATATGAAGCGTCAAGGTTATAATTGAGACCTAATTAATGAAACTTAAACTTAGAGCTCCAATAATTTCTGTAATTGATCATCTGTTCAGTCCAATGGAGAGTTCAATAGTAATCAATTTTGCTAGGAGTTATGAGACGATATTTATCTATCTGGCTTAAAATTTAGTATGAATAATAAAATATCTATAAAATATTCGATAAAATTATTATTGAAACCGGTTGGATATAATGGATTTGTTTTTAATTTATTATCAAATTCACTAAATAAGGATTCAGGCGGAGATCCTCAAGATGGCATATCAACATATTCATTAATATTTTTATAAAAATCTAAAAAATTTGGCTGAATAAAAATAAGTAAGTTTTAAAAATGATGAAAAAAATTATAGATATTGAAAAGTTGTAGTGGTTAATTTAATATATAATATTATAATTGAAGATAAAATGTATATAATTAAGAATTTTAATAAAAATATGCACTGACATGAATGATCTACACAAAAAAATCAGGACAACATACCCTATTTGAAAAGACTTAGGACAAAATTCCTTAATTTTTGAAAATAATTTAAATGCTTAAAATGAGTAAATTTTTAAAATTACCTTTTTTATAATATAATATTTTTCTAAAATTGAGGCTTTTTTTGTCCAGTCTTTTTGTTAGTGGGTATTTTTGTTAAGTGTTTTTTGTAAGGAGTATTTTCTGTTTTGTCCCCGATTTTTTTAGTGATTCTATGAATATATATTTATTAGAAAATTTTTTTAAAAAATATTTATCTAAAATTTGAATTTAGATTCTAAAAAAATGGCGTGTAAAATATAATTCATGATCTCTAAAATATAGAAATAAAAATAATTCTACAGAAATATGAAAGAGAAAGTATTATATATTTTCCTGATGGTTTCATTTAATTGGATCAATTCTTTTAGAAGATATAAAGGTCAAAAGGTGATTTTTTATTTGCAATATCAAGATCGCAAGGATTAATATTTCGTCAAAAAAAATAGTCGAATTATAAACCAAATAAAACAATGATATCATGAACGTGAAATTAGTCAAGCTTCTGGAAGTATTAACTCTGAAACTTTTATCATTAGGCGCATTTAGGTAATAGAGCTTGATAGATAGTTTAAAGTAAAATGCATAAATAATACAAAATTACCAAGATTGGCATTATATTAAAACAAAAATAATAGAAGAGGTGAACATATGAGTGCGCTAATATGTAATGCCAGATTAGTACTTACTAATTCTCAAATTCCAATCCATAAACTGAAATTATAAGCGGATCAAAATCTATAACAGGGCGCCTTAGCATAAGTCTTTTAAATTGCTATTCAGAAATCAAATACGTCCAAAAACATTAAGGGTTTTTTTATTTGTTATTTTTAAATTTAATTTGATTTTTTCTTCTCAATCTGTTTCATAATTATTTAGGAAGCTGAGGAAAAGTTCAAGATTTTTATTTTTTATATATATTTTATGAAACAAAAAAATATTTTGAAGAAATCATCAATTCGAGCTTGCCAAAAAAATATTCGAGTTCTTTAACATATTGTAGTAACAGCCTTGAGATTTAATATTGATAAACTTTTATCAGTATATATATAAATTACAGATATTGGTGGTAGGATAAATTACAGATATTGGTGGTAGGGCCTCAATATCCAGCTGTATCGGGGTATCCATAATGAAGAATATTCATAAAATCTTTAAGTGGCCAAATTGATCCCTAAGATGAATGATTTATATTTCAAAAATATACCATTTAATTCATTTTGCATAGTTCCATAGGAATTATGGAATTGATGAAATAAATATTAAAAATATTTTATTATTTTTTACAAAATTTAAAATAATATAATATAAATCCTACCGAAAGCATTTATCATTTATTCAGCTCTTTAAACGTTACTGCAACGTGCTCATTAAAATCGTTTTTGTTAATTATTTATTATCCTAAATTATAGTAATTGTTAATTTTTTTTATAATAATATGTCATCTCAATCAGCACCTACAATTATACTAAATTATGGCACCGTCAAGCAAGTTTATTGCTTTTTTAATAAAGGATTATGCTTTTTAATGTTTTTCCACAGTATAATAACCATTCTCAATGATGATTTTAAAAGAATTAATGATTATTTACAAAATTATATATCATAATATAATTTAGGTTTTATCAGGAGATTCCATTGTGGTAAGAGGAGTTCCCAAACCAGATGGCCCACCAGCTGAAAGACAAATTTGTCTTACAAATATAGTAGCCCCAAGACTTGGTAGAAGACCCACACCAGTTAATGATGCCACTCCTGATGAAGTAATTTTGCATGTTTTTATTTATAACATAAACTATTGATTTTTGTTTAATATAATTTTTAAAAGTTGATATACTATTTTACCTTAACAGTTATGTTGGTTAGCAAAAATAAATGTAATTTGTTGTATAAAATGACAAATAACTAAAAAAAATATAAAAAATTTGCCTAGTATGCTGTTATATATTATATAACGTATTTAATAAGTAATCAATATTCTGAATAAAGCCATATGCCTGGGAAAGCAGGGAATACTTGAGGAAAAAATTGATTGGTCAAGAAGTGTGTTTTACAATTGATTACAAAGTCCCAACTAGTGGAAGAGAATATGGCTATGTATATTTAGGAAAAGGTATTTTTTTTAATGTTAAGTAAAAGGAAGAACTTTTGAGAAAAAAAATATAATAAGTAGCTACTAAATTATTCAAATACACAGGATGTTTATTCAATCTATTGTTGTTAATTAGGGTAATTTTTAAAACAGCTAGTCCAATATTTTAATCAAAAAATAATATGTATGTCTGGAAATTTTACTTAAAGATGGCAGAAAGGTTTGGACATATAACAAAATTTTGAGGCTTGTGTAATATTATTTTAGCTAAAAACTTAATTTAAAATTGACTAAATTTAGCACACTAATTATATATAAATATTTAATGCTATTTTATTAATTAAACAGATATTTATGGAGAAAATATTGTTGAATCTCTAATAAAAGAAGGCCTTGCTGAAGTTAGAAAAGTTGGAATGAGAATGAATGAGTAGAAATTATTTTTATTATATATTTTTTAAAATTTTTATTATTTATTTATAATATGATATCATATTTAATTACTTCAAAATAAAATATATTTAAAAAAAATAAATAAGAATATATTTTAAAAACAATGTGAGAAGGTGCCTTTATTATATTATATTATGTATTTTAACCTAATTTATTGTGAATTTTTTGGAAATGGGCATTTTTATTATGACATTACATTTTAGTTTCCTTAAAAATAGACTTGTTGGCTCTGGATTAGCTTTATTAAAATGGTTCATTTCGATATTTTAAATTTCATATTCTACATGTTTAGAACCTGGAATGTTTTATGAGAATTCGTAAAATTCTGGAACTCATGGAACATTATTCTTAATATTTTAAGCTAAGGTACTGTTCCCATTCAATGTTCTTTATTTTTAAAAATTTGTCAAATTTTTAATTCCACCCATTCTAGAATGTTAAAAAATATATAAAATTATTTAGTTAGTTATTGGTAAAGGATTAAAAAGCCAAAATTATTAATATTTTTATTGACATTGCACATTTGTACTGAATACATTAATTAAATATTTTCAGAGAAAATCATAAACTTCTAGAACTTGAAGACAAAGCCAAGGATACTGGGAAGGGCAAATGGAACGCGAAGGATTCTAAGAATCACATTAGAAGCAACATGGTCTATAATGTTCCTGAATTGAGAAATTTCATCGAAACTAAAAAGGGAGAGGTTATGAAAGGTGAACTTTAATTTATTTTTACGTGTTTTTAATAGTTATATAACTAGTTTAATAGCAATTCATTGTCTATTCCTTTATATATATTATATATAGTGAATTCTTTGACAAATCAACAATAAAAAACACGATTTTCAACTCGACTCCCTCAGATTTTTATGAAATTTTTAATAGAGTTTACATATATTATAGCTAAGGAAAAAAAGTTTTAGCCTCTTGGATATAATTGAGCTAAAAGCGTCATTTAAAATTCTTTGTATAGCGTAATAATAGGCCTAAAAGTTATATATATTGTTAAATCATTTTTAATGAAAAACCGGAAATGTCATAAAATCAAATCAGTATTTTTTATGAATAACAAAATTAATTAATAAATATGCAAAATTTCAAGTTTGGTCGAGCACACGTTTAGGAAATATGGCATTTTAATCATTAGTCTATTGCAAATATTCGTTTTTTGACATTTAAATTTTTTTGAACAATATTTAAACTTTAAGGGTCTACCATTAGGATATATAAAAAAATTTAAATGATGATTCTATCTTAATTATCCAAAGATATTTAATTTGGAGCCCCGAATTTCAGCCGCTGTTTGGAGTTGGAAGCTAAAATTTTATTTTTTTCTTAGTTATAACATATGCAACCTCTAGTAAAAATTTTAGAAAAATCTGAGGGGTCGGGTTGAAACTCATGTTGATTTGTCACGGAATTCATTTCTTTCTCTTGGAAAAGGTGGGAATTAATTATTATTTATTTAAAAAAAATTTTTTATTGAAATTCTATAATTGCTTTAGATAGGAATTATTTGTTTAAAAAAGTCTTATATCTAAAAATCTCATTAACTTGCAAGTGATTTATATTTCCTATCAAGATGTAAGAATAAATTTTTGAAATTTCCAAGTTTGTTAAGATTGTTATTTAACGTTTTTTTTAAAATTACTTTATAATATAAGTAGAACTTTAGATGATTCGAAGTACATTTTGCAAAAATGGCAGGTTCAACTTTTAAATGAGTATAAATTTGTAAAAAAAAATACAATACAAAGTTATACATAATTGTCGCTATTTTTATTTTCTACAATAAAAAAATGATTTTAAGAATAAAATGATCCCTTGAAATTCCTATAATACAGGTATTGTTGAGCACGTGAGAGATGGGTCCACTTTGCGTATATTATTGCTACCAGACTTACAAACGATTACCCTTATGATATCCGGAATCAAAGTTATTAAATGTTCATATTGAATACTCCCTAATCTATTTAACAATAAATTTATGTGATATTTTGTCAAAAATTTGGGCCACGGAAATAGGATTTTATTACCAAAGAAATATATTATTTTATTAAATATGTTTATAAAGAGAATAGTAAATTGAGAGGATAATAATAGTTACACAGATAAGTTAAAAATAGATGAATGAGTTGTATTTTTTTGTAAAATTTATTAACAATATAATAATTAAACTAATAGTGCCCGACTTCACGAAGGGAAGGAGACCAGTCACAGCAAACGCAGCAAGAAATCGCCGAACCCTTTTTCGAAGAAGCCCGATTCTTCACCGAGAGCCGCTTGCTTCAAAGGGACGTGGAGATCATCTGCGAGGGCACCTCCAACGCCGCCGTTATAGGCACCGTTTTGCACGCTGTAATGAAGAAACATATATTTAAAAATATTTTTTTATTAATTCACAAATAAGAAAATCCCATTTTTATTTCGATGAAAATTAATATAGGACGCTATAATTAACCAGAAATGTTTACAATGGATGTATTTTTTTAAAAAAATTTGGTCCAACTCTAAGAAAATGCTAGACTATGTTGTGGTTGTTATAAAAAATCGAGCGCATTAGCCTTATATCTGATTAATATTAGAATATTTTTAATTTTTTTTTCTAATTATATTATGATTATATATTTTTTTAAAAAAATACTATTTTTTTTTGTCAGAAAGGAAATATTGCAGAATTTTTATTGAAGGAAGGTTTCGCTAAGTGCGTGGAATGGAGTATGGCTAGCGTTAGTTATAATACCCAACGGCTTAAGAATGCGGAAAAGTAAATCAATTTTATTAAACGATATATTTGAGATTTGTTGATTTATTCATTCACTTGTAAATTAAAGAACATCCTTTCTCAGCCACTCATTTAATCCGTTATCCCCTTTCTGAACATGACATTTATCTCATGGTTTTCTAATTATTAAGAATCTTTGGATTTGAATTGGAAATTTTGAAATTGACTATTTAAATTTTCCGCATCTCCATCCTAATTATTAATTTTAAAAAACAAACCTCAATCACCAAAATGCGAAATTCATATAAGGCTGTTTTTTTCTCGCTTTAAGGTGAATATGCTTAAGTTTATATTCTACCACGATCATTTTAAAAATTTTTAAACTGAGATAATAAAGTTGAGTATAAAAAAATGTCTAGGAGGGAAAATATTTTTTTTAAACCTGTATACTTATATATATTTATAGATTCGCCAAAGATCGTAACTTGAGACTTTGGAAAGATTACGTGCCAGTTGAAGAAAATGTCGAAACTAAAGAGACTAAAGCCATTATGGCTAGGGTATTCAATTTAAATGCCTATTTTTCTATAACTTCTTAATATAAATCAGAACCGTTACGAACCTGACCTAGTCTGGCCATACCATATTTTTATTTACTTTAGCCGGTATCGGACCTAAAAAAGCAGGTCCAGTAGCCGGGATATATAGTATGTGTAATAATTTTATTAGATCACATAGTCAATGTAAATAAAATAAGTTTTTTTTGAAATTTTTATCATCTTTTTCGTCTAAAAATAGCTAAAATATACCATTATAAGTAATATATATAATTTTAATGACAACGCTAAAATCATCGAGGGAGTTAAATGTATTTTCCAGGAATCCATATTCCGTTTGTGGGTCTTGCTTCATATCAACTAACAAAATTTGGCCCCTGTTTCACTTTTTTATAGAAGATTAATCTTTAAAAATTTTAGTACATAGTAGTATACCATGTAATGAATGATTCTTTTCTATAAATAAAATATAGACAGAATCACATTTAATTATTATTTTTCGTACCAAATTCTATCATTATTTTTCGTACCGAATTCCTATCATTTTTCTTTTTCGGTTAAGGTTGTCGAAATTATCAACGCGGAAAGTATGATGGTGAAGATTATCAACTCGGGCGAAACCAAGAAAATATTTTTGTCTAGCATTAGGGGACCAAAGTAATGAATAAATCATTTAAATTTATACTATATTTATTTATTTAAAATACCTATTAGTTTGGAGTATTGGAATGATCTCGCGAACGCCATATAAACAATTTTTGGGTTTTTATTTTAAATCCATCTTAAAATTATTGGGCCGAATTCATGTTGTAGCCATTTTCATTACCGTAATATAGTTATAATTGCTCTGCCCAAAACAGTTCTTTAAAAATATCTCGCTGTCATTATTTTAACAATGTATCTATTTAAATTTTTTATATACTACCATGGGCGATGACAATTTCTTGTACGATAATATTAATGTTGAGTTGGCTACTCTCCAAAATAACCAGAGTATTATATTTTCCTCAGTCATATAAGATCCATCACAATGATTGAGTGAATTTCATCGATCAAATCAAACCGAAAACGAAGTTGAATTAAGCCTAAAATTTACATTTAATTCAGAGTTGTTAACGAATTTGGCTCATATTAAAGTATAAGGTTTTTGAAAAATTTTTTTGATAAAGGGAACGGGGTTAGTTAAGTATAAACAAATTGATAAATTTTTTGGAATGATGACTAAAATACGCACAGCCTACACTAACTAACAAGGCTGTTTTTCAACTCCCCCCCCCCAATCCTTTAATTATTTATTTACTTTACCCGTTAGAATGGACCAAGAACCAAACACGGTCTCCGTACTTAATGGAACAGAAACGAGCAACCCTACAAATATATCGAATAACGCGAACGTTAAAGCTAACAAACCCTCTAACAATTCTAGCACGGCTAATAGCGGTGGCGGCAGAACTATCTCGAGGCCCCTTTACGAAATACCCTACCTTTTCGAAGCGAGAGAATTTTTGAGAAAAAAATTGATTGGAAAAAAGGTTATCCTTTCCCCCAATATGGAAATTTTCCACCTAATATTAAAAATATTTTCAAAAAAAAATTAAAGATCGAGGTTGATCCTGGGATGTTTTTTATTATAATTAATTAAAGTATATTTATTCTTTTATTAGAAGATTTTATATTTTAATGCTTATTTTAAAAACATTTTTTATGAATTCTTTTACGATTTAATATTTATATTTTTTTTAAAAAAATGATACAATTTGTTACTTAGGTGAGCGTTAACGTTGACTATGTTCAACCAGCTTCTATGGGATTTCCCGAAAAAATTTGTTGCACCGTTACCTACGGAGGAGTGTAAGTAGTTTAAAAAAAAATTAAATATATATATTTACATCTCAAGATTACAAAAAAAAACAACTACTTATTAGTAGCGACATAAAATTATTTTTTAAATATAGGAACGTTGCCGGTGCGTTAGTTTCGAAAGGATTTGCCACTGTCGTGCGGTATTCTAATAGGTCAAATATGGGTAATGCAAGTTAATTATTTTGTAGCATAGATCACCCATTTTAAGAGGGATTTAGATAGTCATTAAAAATTTTTATATTCTAGTATTGTTAACTGAACGGGTCGAAAACAAGTCGGACCGGTTAATTGATAATCTTACTTAATTACGATTCACTTGTCCACTCTTCATTTCTTCTGTACCTTCCCCTTATTACGCTAATACAATTTTTTTTAAACTCCTTTTTTCGAAACAAAAATCTAATTCACGTCGTTCTGTGTATATTATTTTTGATAAAGTTTTATATTTTCAAGGCAAGCTTTGTTTGTAATTATATTTATAGATTAATATTCATCTATTTTTTTTACAAGATTATGTAGGTTCCTCTAAAGACGGATTATTTATTAATTGAATAAACATTCAATTCTAGAATCTTATCAATAAAACAAAACAGTTCTCGTATTTATTTTTTTTAAACCATATCCTGCTTTTCTTTTATAATATAAGTTCTCATTTAGATGGTTTAGGTTTATTGAGGAACTTTAAACGTTTAATCAAAGCTACTTATGGATATAACTAGTTTACTTTTGACAACTCAACACTAGTTTTTAGTACACGTTATTTTTATTTGTACCACCCTCATCATATTCTTAATATCAGGCGACCCTTCGCAATCTCGGGCGGTTCCTTCAGCCGCGCGTAGCCCACAATATGAAGACCTGCTAGCCGCCGAAGCCGGAGCCACTAAGCGTGGTCTTGGAGTGCACAGCAGCTCGCGAGGGACCAGTGGTGGAAAGCCTCCACGGATTCTTGAGCTTAGTGGGTCGAACGCTAAGACATTGTGGCCCGGTTTAGCCAGAGCCGGCCCCAGGGAAGCTGTGGTGGAGTACGTAGCATCCGGTGCTAGGGTCAGATTGTATTTGACGAAAGAGAGTTGGCTGGTAACCTTTTTGCTTGCCGGTAAAAAATATTTAAATAGCGATATATCATTATTATAAAGCTATGATTTTTTTTGTTCTACTTGATGAAAAGGGAGACTTATAAATAGTGTTTATATTTGACAAATAAGTCGGGTATGGGGAGAAATTGGATTTTATAAATGAACTAATTATCTACATGTCCACCCCCAAAAAAGAGTGACCATAATATTTTGAAAAGATTTATAACATTCAATTTTTTAAAATCTTTAGGTGTAAACTGCCCAAGGGGTCAGAGACCCACACCTGGTGGGGGTGGCATGAGCCCAGCCGAACCATTTTCTCAAGAGGCTACCGAGTTTACTAGAGAGGCCATCCTGCAAAAAGACGTATTAATATAATTATTGATATATTTATAAAAGAAGTTTTGCCATGCATAGTCAAATTTTATTTTAGTCTAAAATAGAAAATATGCTTTATCTATAGGCTTGATCTATTTGGGTTATATTATAATTTATGAATTTCTTTGTTGTACATTTATTTTAACTACTCTTTCAATGAATTTTTTCTTCTGAATCAAGTTAATTAAAACAATAAACCCTACTATCTTTTCCCCTTCTTCATCGCATATTTATAATACTCGACTTCTATCCTTTTTTTTAAATATATAGTTTCCCTCAGAGCTTTCTTAATTAATTTAATATTTTGTTAACTAATCCAATCCCTTAGATTAGAATAGTAATCAACTCTAATATGAATTATAAATTAGTTTTCCATAATTAGAGATTTACAGATGCATATTTTTAGAGGCCAATTCGATTTTGTTAATATAAAGTTGATATTGGCCAATCACCGATATCCGATTTTTAATAATAATATTTGTCTGTAGTAAATAGAAATAAATTAAAAATATACGATAAAATATTTATAAAACGTATAACAAATGGGTTGTTTCAAAAAATTTTCATGATTAATAATAATATTTTATCATAAATATCCTGCATATCGATATATTTGTCGGCCAATTTAACATTCTTAAAAGTATTAATGCTTGGGTCGATTGGATATTAAAAATCGTTACATCCCTATCCCTAATGAGGGTCTCTTTAATAGCCGAAAAAATTGTCCGCAGTTTATTCCAGTATTTTTCGGGGCTAAGTTAAGTAGACTCCATCATTATTATATTTTTATTTCCATTTCAATTAATTCTCTTTCTTCCATCTATATTCCATTATTTTAATGGCCCCATATTTTTATATCTTCGTTTTTTTAGAAACGATTTTTAATTATCCTCAGATGCTGAACAAAATTTATGTTTTTCGCTCATATGTTTCCATATAATCTCATATGTTCGATGGCAACCTTTTTCTCTACCTTAGAACACGTATACATTATTATAATATATTGTTTTAGGTTGAAATAGAGGTGGAAAGCATGGACAGAGCCGGCAACGTGATAGGCTGGCTCCATTACTACCCATCACACGAGAGCGGCCCCTCCTCCACTCGTCATAACCTATCGGTAGACTTGGTAGAGGCCTCCCTTGCCGACGTTCATTTTGGGGCAGACCGGACACGGTATGCTGATAGGCTGAGGGAAGCTCAGGGTAGGGCATCGGCCAAAGGCTTGAAGGTTGATTTTTTTTTGGATCGCTCAAATCTCAATAATAAGTATTAGATCGGTTTTGTGTTTAAGAGGTTTTTTGATTGTGGGAAGAAATATGAAGAACAAAATAGCACAAACAAGAGAGTGAGGGTAAGGAATATTCTTGAGAATGTGATTTAAAAAAATGAATTCAATCTTTATGCTCTTAATATTTACATAGATATGGTCCTTGCCGAGACCTACCGAATCTGCTACAAATGGAGTGGCTGATTCTACCGCTGAATGTCACGATTCCGAAACAAATATGGCCGACACCGAACCAGAAGAATCAACTGTGCGAACCGGCAGTAAAAAGATGGCCCTTTCTCTACCCCGAATAGTCGTCACGGAGATAAACCCTGAAACATTTGCCTTTTACTGTCAAGCAATTGACAAAGGTAACCAATATGTTTTTTTTATATATTGCGTTGATATAAATTTATTTTTATTAGATAATATCTATAACTGTGAATAAGTAGGGTATCATAAATTCACCATGTACTCTATTGATGTTTGTTTACTATATGGTATGACTAATATCACTTTATCTCCTTATTTTTATACAAATTAGTCCATGTAAGTGGTGAAAAATATCTTGGAGATAAAACTCCCTTAAAATAATGAAAAAACCACCGAATCCCGCTTCAAACTAGAAATAAAATCACTAGAAAATTGAAAAACCTACCCCTCAGAAAAACAAACATGTCTATTTGATTTTACTGATTCTTGATCCAAACCAAGGTCTTATTTGGGCTATAGTTAAAATAATATTTATTAGGTTTTGCATAATTAGCGAAATTTTCATTTTCAATATTTATTACCTTTCTTAGGTCCTATGACTACAATGTTTGAATTTTCCTGGGAATTAAATATTATATTCTAAAGACAACTGAGTGTAACTTTATTTATATATAAATCAACTTTTACGAGAAACTAATCATTTAAAACCAATAGATTAATTCCCTATTTGAGTTATTTTAATTTTTATAAACCTCATGTATCAGGTGACGATTTGATTGAAATGATGACCGAACTTCGAAAATGTATAAACGAACAACAACTCTCTCCGTCGATGATTCCTTTCGTGCCCAAAAAAGGCGAATTATGCGCTTCTAAATTCTCGGACAATGAATGGTTTTTTGTATTGATTTATCTATTAACAATGAAACCTCTTTTTAAGTGATCACAAATTATACATTTATGAATAAGTGTGGTTAGTTTATATATATATAAAAATATCCTTTTGATTCGATAATTAGATGGCTTGAAGATCAGTGAGAATGTCATATCGCATGATAATCTTTTCTCTTATTATGTCTAACGAATTTTTTTTCTTTTTGAAACCATCAATTATGATAAATTAGACATAAAATTTAAGAAATTGTGGTTAAGAGTAATTATACTTATTATCCCTTGTAGAATAATAATCTAATTTTTTTTATTATTATTATACGTAAACCAAGGTACAGAGCCAGAATCGAAAAAATAAATGGACCAGCTATAACGATTTTTTACATAGATTATGGAAACGTGAGTTAATTTAAAAAAAATTATTAAATTTTTCAAGTTTTTAACGGCCATTTTTTTATTAAACGGTTTTATCGAATGGGTTACATATTATAGGGAAAAAATTAAAATGGCATTTTTTATACTTTAAGTTCAAAATTCAAAAGGATTAAATATTTTTTAGAAATTATTTATAGACACTTGAAATGCTTTTAATTGAATTACGACCTTTTAGAGAGAAATAACTGATGCTAGTAGGCTCACATTTTTGCCTTCTCACTTCGTTTCCATATCGCCACAAGCTAAAGAATATTACCTAGCCTGCGTTGTCGTTCCATCGGATGTAATGCAAAACACAATTTTTTCTATACATCATTGCTTACTCATTTTTTTTTATTTCGCGCTTACAAATTGAAACGTTTTCATTTTGTGATGGACTTCAAATAGTACATTTCGAATTTTGCTTTAAAAAAACTCTTGCCTTTTTTTTAACCTTTATATTAAAAATACCGCCACAATTTTAACAATCTTTATATATATTAAAAAAACGCTTAACTGTTCGATTTGTAAGCTCTATAACACCCCACTCTTCTCGGACGTTTTAGAGTTATGTAGACTGGTCTGGGAAAAGATTGATAAACCTTAAGCAGTACTTACATGAACCGGGGAATGTTTCATTATTTTTTTTCTCTAACACTCACATAAACAGGAAGATTTCAAGGAAGAAGCCCTCCATCAATTCCGCAAGGAAAGTTTTAACAAAGAATTTTTGATAGAGCCTCAATACAAACTGAATAATTTGGATTACGTTACTCTTTATCAAGCAGTGCCAAACCCCGAAAATGACAAATTATTTACCAAAGGTATATAAAAAATTATTTGCTTTTTATCCTTTTTTTAAAGAAAAAGTGGTCCGTCATCTGACTTTAATTTTTTTTTATTACTATTTTTTCCTTTCTGTCTTTCATCCTTATGTTATCTTTTATCACTGAAAATGACTACTCAATATTTTTATACTATAATTTACTATATCTTACATTATAATATTAATATTTATTTAATTGATTAAAAATTTGTCTTGCTTTTTTACAAAATTATTCTTAATATCTTATACTTTATTACCCTAAAACAGCGTAGCATCAAATATCATTTGATCACCTCCCATAGAACGTTTTAGTGATGCTTTTTAAGATCATCCATTTATAATCCAAACAATATTTTCTCTTACATTCCTATTATTAAAAAATTTTACGAAATTAAAGCGATTTCATAAAAATGATCATATTTAGGTGAAGATTTCGTTAAAACAAAGCTTATTACGGAAGGTTATCTGTTGGCTGAACCAAGAAGGGAGAGAAAATTGTTCAAATTGGTACTTCATTATTTATTTTACGCTTATTATTATATGATAGATTAAAAAAAGATTTTTATACATGAGATGAAATTTTGGTTAAGAAAAGCAGTTTTTCTCAAAAATAATTCATTATGAAATAAAAGAATTCGAAGAAAATATGCTTTATATTACAATTTCATTTTTTATTTTTTTTTAGAAAATATTTAAAACTATTATATAAAAATTTGCATTTATTACCCATAGGTCGATGAATATAAGAAAGCTCAGGAACATGCCAAAAAAGAAAGGGTAAGCTTAGAATTTTATACATTTTAAGAGACATGGTTTTAAAAAAAATATAATGCCATCTCTTCAATACTTATTAGATTACATTGAAGACGCTAAGTTTTTTTGTAAAATCATGTCTCTGATACTTTATCATTAAAAAAGGCAATATAATATATAGTTTAGACCTGCAGAGGTTGCAGGGCTCAGCCTAGATTTTTTAAAAATATGTTATATTTATTCTTTATAGATAATAATGGCGATTTAAAATATTTCGCCCGACCCGGGTATTTATAAAAAAAGATATTAGGGCCTAAGGTCATTAAAATATTTACGGATAAGCAGGTCTTGATATAAAGTATTGACTCGATTTAGCCAATTTTAAGTTAAGATTTTAGCCAATACGCTGGCTTTGAAATTACATTAATAGATGGCCAAATCTTCTGCCATTTATAAGCAAAATCTCCAGGCTTGCGTAATATTTGCCTAAAATATTGGGTTAGCCGTTTTTAAATCGTGCCGTTTAACAATACTAAATATCAACAAAAAACACGATTTTCAACCAGACCTTTCATAAAATTTATACAAGAGTTTGTATATATTATAACTAAGAAAAAAAATATAACAGCGGCTTGTGCTTCTAAATGTAGAAATAATGTGAAATTGTGAGCAAAATTAACTCTATTTATTTTTATATATCTTTAAATATAATTCGGCTAGAAGCTCCTATAGTTAAATATTCTTAAAAAATTTTTAGATGTCAAATACCGAAAATAATCATAAAATATCGCCATTCTTTTTCTTTTTAGGATTAATTTATAAATATGCAAATTGAAAATATTCGTTATAAATATTTGATATTAATTAATCAATAATTCCTAGGCTATATGGAGGGCACTACTAGACCGGGTTTTCCGCTATAAATTTTAGTTTATATGTCTAATTGTATACCTTTGGCTATATTATATTTTTATAAAAATAATTTTGGGTTTTCACTTATATTTTTTTATTAAAATGCTTTTTTCTTAAAATTTTGAATTATATGCGTTATTTTAAAAAGTTATTAACTTTTACTAATTTATCCTTCAAATTTTTCTTTTATATTGTATACAATTTTGGAAGAGAGGATTGAGAGGACGAGTAACAGGGGGGGGGGGTGGCATGCATATCATTTTAGGTGAATAAAAAATTCCCCACCACCTCTCCTCCAAAAATGTACACTATAAAAAATTAGTAATAAAGTAAATAGTTTTTAAATTAACGACTATAATTCAAAAATTTTTAGATAAAACATTTAGATTTTAAAGAAAAGTGAAAACCAAAATTATTCTTATAAATATTCTAATATATCAAAAGACCAACAATAAAGGAATAAAATTTTCGGGGAAAACACACCTAGTAATCCCCCCCTCCTTAGCAAAATCTGGATACGCCTATGGTTGGGGATCTATATGTAAAAAAAATTATTAGCCTAAAATGATATTTACAAGAATAAGCTATGGTGGGGTATCTCCCCTTGGTTACGCGCATGCAATAATGGTAATATAACTCAAAAGCTATCAAAATTTTATGTTTAATATTTTAAAGAATATTTATTTGAGATATGCAGGAAAATATTTTTTTCGGGAGGGGGGGGGGTGGTTGTTAACTTATTTGATGAATGATGAATTAAATAATTTTCACAATATATAAATATAATTTAACTTTATTTTAATTCTCTCTAGGCATAAATGGAATTTTTGTAATCCTGGAATGGGGTTAAGAAGCAAGATGTTTTTTTTTTCATATTCATCATCCATATACGAATTAATTTCAGTGATATTTGCCTTGCAAATATTAGATAAATCTAAGATATTTGATTTTCATATGGATGCTGTAGGTTATCTCTTGCCGCTAACCTTTTTGTAATGTTTGCGATGGGTTATTACCAAGAAATGTCATTCCGCGTTGATTCCAAAATCAACTTCACGGTAGATTAATCTTTTTTTAAAATTCTTATATTGAGTTACGCACCATCAAGAAACATTTTTAATTTCATTTAAAAAACCAAACATTTTATGTTTAAAATAAATATTTAAAAAATGGTCTTAAATCTGCATAATTTATTATAGCTTACTTAAAGGAGTATTTTTAAATTTAGAATATAATTCGTTAAGTTTGCATCAAATGAGCTTTTTATCCAATTGGCACTTCTCTCCTTTGACATTTATTGATATAAGAATGTTTTTATCAGGTATTATACCACTGTTTTAATCGGAATTTTAAAATTTTCCAATAATATCTATACAGGCGCGTACGCAGGAATTTGCCGTGGGGGGGGACAATTAAAATTTTTTTAAATAAATTTTTGTTATTTAAAATTCTGAAGCATAAATTTATTAGGACTAATAACTATTTCTAATACACAATTTTAAATTAATGTGAATTATAAAAATTAAATATATAAACCGGCATATGAAAAACTTTAAAACATATAAACCGGTATATAAAAAAAATATAAAAACCGGTATAAAAAACTTTAAAATATATAAACCGGCATATAAAAAACTATAAAATAAATGTGAATTAAAAAATATTAAACGGATATAACCGGCGGCATATGAATAACTAAAAAATAAATGATCCAAAATAGAAATATTTTGAGCTTTTAAAATTTATATATAAAGTATAAAAAATATAAATGTTGTAAATATAAATTTACATAAGTTTATTAGGTAAAATTGTATTTTGTGAATGAACTATTTATAATTCATAGGACAGCACTTAGCAACTGCTCCCAACCTTTTTTGGACCCCAACAAAATGCTATAGATGCTTTGCATCAATTCAAACATATTTTGAATTATTTTCCTAATATATTAAAATTATAAAATTGCACAAAAAATTTTAAAAGCATATAATATATTTTAATCCAATTTTCGTTGGGATAGAGCTAATTTTTCAATTATCTCATCCGTGCTTGGCGTCAAATGCCTATGAATATTCAATAGGGCCAAACCATTCAATCTACTTTCAGAAGTTGTACTTCTTAGGTAGGTTTTTATTCTTCTCAAAGAAGAGAAGGTTCTCTCATTAGTTGCAGTACTAATGGGAATAGTTGCTAATATATATAATAATTTTAATATATTAGGAAAATAATCTAAAATATGTTTGAATTGATGCAAAGCATCCATAGCATTTTTTGGGACTATATCAACCATGGTTAATCTTTTATACCATAGTTGGCATTCAGCCAATAAGGCATCATAAGATACTTTAATATCTTCATGATAAAAATTTGCCAAATATTTTATTTTATTTCTATCACCATCTGAAAAAGGTTGGGAGGGTTTTTGTGGTAATAATATCTGCATATTGCTAAGTGCTGCCCTATGAATTAAAAACCGTTCGTTTATTTGTGTTATAAATGTATCTAAAAGAGGGATAAAGAGATTTATTTTATAATATTCTTCGACTGACCCGATATTAATGTTTGGACGATGAGCTTGCCTTGCTGCAAGTCGAGGGAGACAAATATTAAACTCATATTGTTGTGCTTTTGACTCAACAATAACATATAAAATATGAAATTCGTCATCAACATTAGCTCTAATTTCATTGAGTTCTATTAAAATACTCTCTGCTATTCTCATCACCTCAATCAAGTCAATATCGAGTTTTTGAAAAGTATTGCATAAAATTGTAGTATAATTAAATAATTTATTAAGACATTGTAATGAGAAAAAAAAATTTGGTATAAGTATGGAATCTAATAATTTGCTAGCCTCTGTAGAAATATCTCTCTCAGACCATTGTGATATTTCGGTAAGAGCGTTAATAATTGGTTCTTCTAACTCCATAAAAGATGTCACAGCTTGATGGCGAAGGCTCCATCTTGTTGGACAAGCTTTTTGCAATTTTTTCCTCCTTGTTGGACAAGGAGTTTCAGAAATAATTCTGTTCAAAATATTTTGTCTCTTGGGATATCTAAACATTTCATAGATGCTAGATATTTTGCCTGATATAAATATAAGAAATTTAATTGAAATAAATAAAATTATACCTAAGCAATTTGATATCAATGGCAAAGAACATGCATTAGATATTGCCAGGTTGAGGGAATGAGCAGCACAATGGACATATATAGCTGTTGGGCATTTTTTTTTATAAATGCTTGAAGCCCATTGAATTGCCCACTCATTGCACGAGCTCCATCATACCCTTGCCCACGTATCAAATTTATATTAAGCTATATTTTTGAAAAAAATAATTTTATAATGTGATTAATTATTACTTTGAATTTTTCAAGATTGTCAAATATTACATCAGCTAAGGCAGACCCAGTCATGCTTGAAACTGGAATTGAAGAAACATCTCTTTTATAATGTTATTTTGAGTATCTATATATCGTGCACAAAGTGACATCTGCTCAATTCCAGCAATGTCTGTGGTCTCATCTGCCAAAATTGAGTAGCATGGGGCAGAATTGATTTCAGTAATCAATTTTTCTAGAATGATATTATTGCAAACATCAATTATTTCATTTTGGATCCTAGGGCTAAGGTATGTAGCATTTTTATTACTACTATTAATGCTCTCCATTAATGCAAAATCTCCTAATGCTTTAAATTTTATAAGGCCACGAAAATTCCCTTCGTTATCATTATTATTGAAATTCAGGCTTCCTGAATCAAAATGGCCACGTAAAGCTAATCCCTGCAACCCACAATATAGAATAGCCTCAATAGTTAGTCTTATCTTGCATCTATTTTCTTTTGCAATTGTAAGCCTACTTTTATCAATATGTGATGTAATGGGAATCATATCCCCACTTTGAATTTATTCTTTTGAGGAAATCATCAGTTCACAACTTTTGTGATAATTTGTTTTTTGATGATTATCAAAAATTTCTCCAGCATCTTTGTATCTGTTAAATGGAGTCTTAACAAGAGTGTTAAGCTTAACCAAATTTCTTCCAGCATATCTTGGACCAAACAGGACACATATCTTACAATAAGCTCCATTGTCACGGATAGAGTATGCTAGCCATAACCATCTAGTAAAATAGCTGTTTTGAAATTTTAGCTTTCGATTAGCACATACAGTTTGTGGATATTGAAAAATTGAGGGGTGGAATATAAATCTATTATTAAATTAAATAAATTATTTATCATAGGTATCTTATATTTATTACTTTTTTAAGAAGTAAATGTCTTTCTTCTAGGCTAATATTATCTTTATCCAAAAAATTGTCTATATCATATGGATAATCATTGTACTCTAGAGTTTTGTATAAGGATTTTATATGAGTATAATATTGAGATTAAAATTATTTTAAAAAAGCCAAAATCTTTATTTAGAATAACCTTTTGATGGCTTTGGCTCTATATCCTGACTCTCAATTATTCTTCCAATTCCAACAATTATTTCATTATTTATGGGAGGGGTTTTAATTACTAAAAAAAGAATATAATAAAAATATGTTAAATTATTCATACCTTTTTGCTTTTTTATAAGATGACTTTGACTAGAATCTTTATCATCATTCGTGTTTTTAAAAAAATTTCTTATGTTCATAATTGTTATTTGACTAGAAAAAAATGGTAGATAAATATTACCAAGGAAAACTTGAAATTGAAATTAATTGATAAAATAACTTAGTAAATGATTGTGATAAATAAATGTAATTAAATATATATTTGAATGAAGGAAATATGAATAAAGATTATAAAAATAATATTAATATATAGAAAATAATATTTTTGAAAAATATATCCGGCATCTGCATTTTTTGGCATTGGGGGGGGGGGGATTTTTTCCCTGCCCCTTCCCCGCTGCGTACGCGCCTGTATCTATAATATAATCTCGAAAACCACTCCTTTATAATAAAGGGATAAAATACCTTTCTTGATCAATTTTGTTGCTACCTTTGCCATGTCAGTAGTTGAATATTTTTATTGTTTTTAGGATCCAAGAACTTGATATAACCGTCAATATCTTGATTCTTTCAAGAATGCATTGTTTCAAATTTATTTTTACAATTGCCTAATGATTAAAATGCCATAAACCAGTGCTCAGCCCAACTTTGAATTTCGCATATTTAGTAATTGATCCTATAGCATACATACAAATACTGATTTGATTTTATAATTATTTTCGGTTTTTGCTATTTAAATTTTTTAAACAATATTTAACATATAACTTTAAAGTTCTTTCATTAGGCTGTATAAATAAACTTAAATGGCGCTTCTAGCTGAATTATATCCAAAGATATTTAAAATTAAAGAAAGTGCATTTTGGCCAAAATGCCAAATATTTTCGACCTTTAGAGGCCCATATCTCAGCCGCTGTTAGGAGTTGGAGGCTAAAATTTTATTTTTTTCTTAGTTATAATATATACAAACTAGTAAAAATTTAGAAAAATCGGAAAGTGTCGGGTTGAAACTCACGTTGATTTGTCATGGAATTTACCATATATGTTTTTAATAAATTAGGTTATATCAGAGACTCACAGGCCTGGAATCCGGTATTATTTAAAAATTCGACCTGGGTCGATTTAAAAAAAAATTAAGTGTAAATTATCAATTGGAAAATCATATAATGAAGCATTTAATATTCATTTTCTGCTCATATTTTCGATTTTACTTAGAATCAATTTGTATAATACAACCAAAATGATACTTAAATTCTTTATAAATCCTAGCAGGGCCTAAAATATCCTTGAAATATATTTATTATAAGGTCGTTTATGTCAAATTTTTAAAAAATAATTATTTATATTTTAGAAAAATTTGTGGCGGTACGGTGACTTTACGCCAGACGATGCTTTCGAGTTCGGTTTCAAGAAATAGAATTAGAACCACCCCAAAATTGCAATTCATATTTATTAGTATTTTAGACGATACATTTATTTTTATTAAATACCAATCATAAATACATATACTATTATTATTATTCACCTGACAAAATTTTATAAATCAATTTATTCTAATTTTATATAAACAAAATAACGATTTTCTTTACACTTTAAACTCAAAGTTTTAAATTATTTGGATTTATAAAAATTAATGGAATATTATATTATTATTTTGTTATGAACGTCGACAAAATTTATTTAAGAAAAATTATTAGCCAATTTATTAAATAATTTATGGTTTTATTTACTATACCATTTTTATTTTCCTTTTAATTATATAATATAATCATCATATTATATGATGTAATGTAAGAGAATTTTTAAAGATTTTTTTGTATTAACATCAATAAAAATGACTATATTTTTAAAATTTTAATACAATAAAAGAATATCAAGTTAATATATCAAAATTTATTCTTTCGGGTATTAACATAATACCTGAAAATGTAATTATGTCACTTGCCATGATTCGAATATCATATTTTAAATTTTTAAAATGGGGAGCTTTAGCACCGAACATGATTTTGTGTCGCAGTGACCTTATGATGAAGATATTACAAAAGATTAGGCAACTATTAGATAAAGATTTACCTATGTTATTAAATCTGCATATTAAATATAAATTTCTCTTTTCCAAACATATTATATTTAAATTTTCCCTTTTTTCCTTCCATCTATTCCAATTTTTCTCTACTTTCTTATTTCTATTTTTTTACATTTTATACAAATGATTTTTTTTTACTTCCTTATTTTGGCTGTGTACAGTTTTTCAAATGTATCATAGGCGCAGCCAGGATTTTTCTAAGGGGGGGGGGGGTTTAAAACATTTATGGGGATTCGCCCCCAGACCCCATATTGGGCGGGGTCTATATATAGTCATAAAATATTTTTACAAGATATGAGGTTAATTTTATTAAAAAATCAAGCCTGGAACAAATATGATATATATTTTTATTAGTTTATATAAAATATAATAAATTACCTGTATTACATTAATATAAATATAAATTGATATTCCTCAATTATATAGAATTGGTTACAAAATTCTACTTTTACAGACATATATTTGACAGTTAGAGAATATATTAGAGTTAATATTTTAACAAATTTTACTAATCAATGCTCTTGATAATAAATATAGCAACAATTTGCATTCAATTATTTAATGCCATCTATTTATTCTAAATAAAAAGTGATATATTAATCTTCATATTATTCATCCCACAATGTCTTTAAAAGATATTTTCTGATATCCTTATAAATATTTTGTAGTTTTCTGTAAAATATATAATTCGCTATTAGATATACTGTAAATCTCGACTATAATATTCCACTGTTTGTATTGTGCTTTAATTTTTTTATTTAATTTATGATTTAATTTTATGAATTGTTTTATAATTATATTTTACTTTTATTAGGATAAATAAAATAAAATTACTCACTTTATATAATTGATTATAATACATTTCACTTTTGTCTTAAGACTTATCTTTGGCTTATATTCCTTTTCTTAAAGCATTTTTGGCTCATTTTTTTTATATATAAATGCTTTTTTCCAAAAATGTATAAATTATAATGAATAGTTTTATAAAAAAATATTAACTTTTACATTCTATCTTTCAAATTATTGTTTAAGATATATGCATACATTTTTGGGGGTCAGGGAGTGGGAGAAGGACTAAGGGGGATATTTTTTATTAGTTTAAAATTATATTCACAAAAGGAAATAAATTTCTGAAGGGGGGGAGGAATTTCACCTAGCCCCCCCCCCGTTTACATCTATTTGGCTTATATTCCATTTCTTAAAAAATATTGTTTGGTCCACTTTTTATATATTTAAATGCTTTTTCAAAAATGTATAAATTATGATGAATAGTTTTATAAAAAAATATCAACTTATACATTCTTTCTTTAAAATTATTGTTTAAGATATATGCATACATTTTTGAGGATCAGGAAATGGGGGAAGGGCTAAGGGGGATATTTTTTATTAGCTTAAAATGATATTCACAAAAAGTGATAAATTTCTGAAGGGGGGGGATTTCCCCTTGCCACCCCCCTGGCTACTTCTTTTCAATGTATTGTTGCATCATCCTGAAAATATCTCATCCAATAGTTAAATAAGGCACCAATATACGATTTTTTTAAATTATATTTATAACCCATTGTCGCATATATTTTTATTAATTTCATAAAATAAAGTTTAATGATCAAATAAAGCCAATTACAAGTCCATCTCTTTCTTATAGAAAATATTTTTAAAAACGTCCATAATGCAATTACAAATCGACAGATACAACATTTTCAAGCACGCAGGGAATAATCTTTATGCTCTAAGGCTGTAAATATTCATTTTTATTTTATTTTTTTTTCAATATTTATTAAAATCTCCCTTTTTAAGGATATTTAATTGGAATAAATTCGTTTTAGGAAGGGGATTAAATTTAAAGATAAAAATATATTCTTCAAAATATTCATTATTTATATTTTTTATAACTGGAAAGTGGGAGAGTGTTCTTCATTTCCCACCCTGCTGGTGATACACCTGAACAGAGCTTTTAACTGATACTTTTTCTATCGAGAGGACTTTAACAGAATCTTTAATCCATTTATTTTAACTTAGCTTACTTTACTTTATTTTATGAAATTTTGATATGATACTATAAATGAACGTGGAGCAATAACTTAGAATTTATAATATTAATTACATCTGATTTTAACTCTTTTAAGAACGGTTATTTTTAAAAAATTTTAAAAAGCAAACGAAATGGAAATTTTATAGAAGTCATTGATTCAGAGTTTTACTTTCGATTCGGTTCATCCGGTGGTAAATATTCTTTTATTTTAATCATATTTATTTACAGATATAACTTACATTAAAGAAATTAAGCTTAAAATCAGCCATCACCCACCTTTAAAGTAATTAAATTATGCTGTAGTTCTCGGGTATAGGCTTTTTCTTTGTCCCACTCCTTCTAAATTAAAGCCTATAGAGGTTTAAGCAACATTTTTCGAAATGTTGTGCCTACAAGTACGTGCGGCTTGCCCACAAACGTGTGGAGGGCTCCTCATATTTTTATTTTTATACCCAAATTAAATTGTTCCAATTAGATGGAAATGAGGAAAACCTAGCGTAGCTCTGTTGAATCTTCAACGTTAGAGGGCAAAAGCGCTATATATCACGTATCACGTAGAAGTCATTAAAATTTTGAATATAATAATTATAAAAAATCCAATTCATTTAAATTAAAAAAAACATCTAATAAATCTTTTTTTCTTTATATAATTCATTCAAATAGCATTGAAATAATAGGTATTCACATATTCAACAACATTAATTGGATCATTCAATCAACATTCTACTAACTTCCCCTATTATTTATACATTATTATCAATATATTAAATAATTAATTATTTGTTAATCCTATGACAATAATTTATGGATCATTTGAAAAATATACCCCTGCCATTTCAAACAAATATTCCCGATATTTTTAAAAAAATTGTTCCATTAAAACCTATCAAATGTCATGAATTACAGGGCTTTAATCGATATATGCATCCTAGAAATTATTATAAATATTATCAACCTGACTTTAATGCATTATGCCATAATTACCCTGATATCCTTGGCAAATACATGGTTCAAAGTAAATGTAAACGTAATTATAAGGATCAATCAACTATCATTGAAAGTAATTTATTTACAATACTAATATTTACTTAATATTTTATATTATTTTAATTTCAAATATCAATATATATTAAAATATTGCAATAAAAGCGGATCAAAACCTGGGGAATATGGAGTATGGACAGTCTTTTCATTACACCATAAACTTTTCAAATCCCAAATCTACTCTTGCACTCACACAAGTTTTATTGAAAGATCATTTTAATTTAGATATACAAGTGCCTGAGGGACGCCTAATTCCTACTGTCCCACAAAAACTTAATTATATTCTTTGGATAGAAGACTTAATATCTGTTTCTTATACCTTAGATCAAACTTTTTCTTCAAATTTTATAAATTCATCATTTAAAAATCATGAAAACTTAGAATCCAGTCCCTTAAAACTTAGCAATACACACACAAATCATGGGAATGTAAAGTTTATAAATGGTTTAGATATAGGCACTGGATGTTGCTGTGTTTATGCCCTACTGGGCTCAATTAAAAATGAATGGACTTACTTAGGCACTGAACAGGATGATATTGCTTATAAAATAGCAACCCTCAATTTAAACCATCAAAATCAAAGTCTTGCAGACAAAGTTAAACTTTTGTTAACTAAATCAAGTGATAAATTAAAGTATAATAAAGAAATATTTGATGATACATTAAAAAATAAAGCAAAAAGACAGAAAACAGAGATACCTTATAGTAATAACAATGATAATATTGAGGAATTTCCTGAATTAGATAAAACAAAGTATAAAGGAAGGGATACACAATTAGATATAGATAATGAAAAAGTTAGTATACAAATTGTCTTGAAAAATGGGGATGAGGAATCATTACTTGATGATAATAGAATAAAACTTATGAATCAAAATATTGATATCAGCTATGAAAAAACTCATATAAACATTGAAAATTCTGATGATGATTCTAAGGAAAAACTAATGACAATGGAGCACTCTGATAAAATATTTCCTAATTACCAAGAATGTTTACAATTATATGCTCCTGCCAAAGAAATCCATTTTCAATTCACTATGTGTAACCCTCCTTATTATTCACGTCAGGAACTTTCCCAAATTCGATATTCCAAAATAAACACCCTAAAAAATATTGAAAATATTAAAGAGAAGGTTCCAAGAGCTTCTTTAGAAAATACTAACACCTTAGATATTTCTGGCAAAATTGATATTGAAAATATAGTATCTTGCCATACAGACACAGATTTCAGTGTTGATACTCATAAAATGTCCAAAGAAAATATTATAAAAAATCAATATAAATCTTGCTCTAATCCATACTCCCACCAAACAGATTACATAGACCTGGAAAGTGATATGGTTTATAAGGAAAAGGAAGGGGAATTTGGCTTCATTTTAAATATGTTCCACGAAAGCCAGGTAGAACCCTGGAGAAGTAATGTGGACATTTTCACTTGCCTCATCGGTAAGAAAGTAACTTTGGAGAAGTTGTTAGAAAAGGTTTTTTCCAAAAACTTGAATTCTATTCCAAATAAGCATTTTAAATACACTTTCACAGAGTTCTGTCAAGGCAAAACTATGAGATGGGCTGTGGCATGGAGTTATCAGGATTTTATAAAAGTTTAATATATTATGACATGTAAAATCAGGGACGAGAACCCTCCTTCTAAAAAAATGGGTTTGGGTTCAATGAAAAATTTCTGTACCCGGTTCAGGTTCAGGGTTCGGAGACCAGAAAAATAATGACTTATTAAAATTATTTAAAATAACAGAAACATTATTTTTTTAAAAAATTTTATTTTAATTAATATCACCATAAAAATAATTTATCATCATAATTATAATAGTAAAATACAATTTAAAAAATTACTAAATATAACAAAAATAATTACACGAAAAATTGATCAAAAAGTGTTTTTTTAAAAATAATATATAAATTTTTTAAAATTATAAGCTTGAACCCTGAACCCTAAATTTTAAAAAAGGGTTTGGGTTCAGTAAAATATTTAGGGTTCGGGTTCTCTTCCCTGTGTAAAATACATCAGATAATTTATTTATTAGTAGAAAAGATATATTTTTTTAATAAAGCTCTCAAATTTTTATTATTAGTTTATTTATTTTTTTACCATAAATCCATAGCTACCCCCTGGAAAATCTATTTTCGACGATGAACCACTAATTGAAATGTTAAATTACACAATTTTACCAAAGGTGGGTGATTCTCATAAACATCATACCAACCATGATCAAATTACCTTGGACCTTTTTCGAAATTTATTTAACGCTTTAAATTACCTCTCGGAACGAGATTTTATCGATATTCAGATTGCGACATTCGGTGTCGAATGTGTGTCCTTCATTTCAAGGATACATTTAAATGAAATTTCCTTAGAAACATTACAAAAAATCGAAAAAGAAAGAGTATCCATTGATTCTCGCAACAATGCCCCAGAAGCCATCTTACTTGATCACATCATCAGCTTGCTTCGACAAAATAACGTTAGCCGTGACAGCCAGATATCGGCTATCATCAAACAATTTGAATTCTCATGTTTGTGTTCTGTTGTCAAGACCTCGTCCTTCGATATGAATCAGAAAAATGCCTACCCGGGATTCAAAATTATCGTCGAATGGATGTACGGTTATAACCCGTTATGTATGCATAAATATTTCCTCATGTTGACCGATGTCATTAAGATCATATTGCAAAATGAGTTTACAGTTACTTAATGTCCACATTAGATATTATATTATTTTTTTAAGTTATAAATATAATTGTAAAAAAAATGTAAAAATTGTTAATCAAAGTAGTTATAAATATATATTGATTTTAAATCATTGATTCCCAATTTTGTTTTTAAAATAATCTCATTTGCCACAAATGTTCAAAAGTTTGGCCTAACGAGAAATGTCAATTCAATTAGACATATTTTATAAATAAGATTCACATTCGGCTTATGATAAAATATTTATCCAGTTTATAATTTATTTTTGTAATTATGATTGGGAAACATTCTTCCTTACAAATTCACCGATTTCAATATTCGTTTGATTTGATTATTTGGTTATATATAATTTCTTATGATTGGTTGGCGTTGTTTTCACTATATTACTATCTTTCTTCAAGCTTTATAACGGGAAATTTCATGGGTTATAGAATTAGTAATTTCTTGATTAATAATGTTAAATATAGTCTTTTAATAAATAGTTCAAAAAAACGATTGTACAGAAGATTACCAATAAAAAAAACTCTAAAACTTACTTAGATGTTACTGAATCTTTGGTACATTCTTCTCATGCCATCAGTAATCTAGTCTCCAATTTGTATTATATATTATTAGAAAAATAAATGTTAATTTCTTTTTTGATATTCATTTACTAACCAGAAAATGGATAGTAGAAATTTTTGAGGTAACCCTTAATTATAAATAAAATATCTGCCCATCTTCAAAAATATTCAAAAAAAATCGGTGTGGAATCGCCTATGTTCTTATATTAGATATAGGAAAGATTTGGGGTAGGGTATCACTAATAAATTTTAAATAACATGCCATTTATATCTTAGTAGAAGCTATTTTTAAATGTACACTCACGTTCCAAAATGAAATTACTACTTGACTGTTAAATTATATTATAATTTTTTTCGTTGAAATGAATGGGGGGAGGGAGTGAGGAGATTAAACTATTCCATTGAGTAAATAATCAAAAAACTGTAAATTTGAAGTTCGATTTATTTTTATAAACTCATTAACTTGATACATTAAATTTTAGTGCCAAATTATACCTATTTTTTGAAAAATAAGACGAGCAAAGAACCATGAATTTATATATAATTAACTACTACTACTGTTATTGAAATGGGTTTAAATCAAAACTTTTCGATTAGATCTCCCGTTTCGTTTTTTTCATTCTCCGATACCAGTTATTATGTTCAATGATTTCCCTACGAAATGCTAAGCAGACTAGTGATGGAAAAGGTCAGTTAAAAAAGCTAGTCGAAAAATCTTGCCTGGAAAAAAAACTGAGGAATATATGGATAATCAATCTGTATATAAAATTGCTACAATCAATATTTAAGTTCAAAAATTAATGATATGCTTTAAATCGTGCAAGTATATCTATTGCGTCAGTTAGGGCAGGGAGGGGTAGAAAATTTGTGATCTCTTTAGAAACCTTGATGACTGCTCTAATTGGTCCTGGCCTAAAAATTTAATCGGGCTGAGTTATGGTTTTAATAAATATTTTTTATTAAAAAAATCGGGCTGGGATATTTTAAAATCTATAAAATACAGGACAATGATGTTTGTGCTTCTTAGATATATTTTAAAAAAAATTTGTTTAATTAATATATCACCAATCAAAAAAAACTCAACGTGTGATCAATTAAAGTATCAGCCTGCAAACTATAATATACAGACTTGAACTATAGGAGTTTCTATAATCTTGTTTCAAGTTTTAAAACAAATTTTTTTAAAAATATAATTTAGCCAATAAATGTTAGTTTTATAGAAGAAACCTATTTCATACCAAATATAATTGCAATATAGGGGTCATATCTTTAATCATTCATTCTCAAGATGGAGTATTAACTCCTCCAAAAATATCGCTTCATTAACCTGATCTCTTTAGTTTAGACTATTTCGTCCTTGACAAAATTAACTGCTTAATGTTCAAGATAACAGCCCTCGAGTGGAATCTCTTATGGAAGTTTCATTAAAGAGATGCACTGGATTAGATGTACTTATCGGAACTGATGACGTCCTATTTATTTTTTTATACACCCGTGCGTGGGTGAAAAATATATTTCTTATACATAAATTCAGGGATTCAAACCAAACCCGAAGAAGCGTTTTTGGAAAAAAATCTGAACCCGAACCGAACCTGAACCGAGTTATAAAATTTTCAAAACCCCGAACCCGGGATTTTATTTGAACAGGGTTCAACCGGGTTATTGTTAAAAATCATATAAGATTTTGTATAATTGTAAATAAAAATTTTAATAATTAAATTGAGATTTTATAATATTTTCAAATTTCAATTAAGCAAAGTGTTAATAAATTTTAAACAACTTAATTCATTTATGCCATTTTTAAATTTATTCCCAAAGATTCGTATTGGAGTGTTAATAAATTTTAAACAATCAAATTCATTTACGCCATTTATTGTTAATTTATTCTCAAAGATTATTAATTAGAGGAAAATGAAAGTGAACAAGTCAAAGTAAAAATTATTATATTGGATATTGTTAATTAAAAGAAACACGTCTAAATAAAATTTTTAAGAATGATACATGACTATGCTTTGTATTTTTTACTATATTTTGCCTATAAATAAAATAAAAATTTAATTTTTTATATCAAATCTATGTCTAGTTTTTCAATTATGATTTAAATCTAGAATTTTTTTTTATCATTTCAAAAATTCTTAAACCTGAGCTGAAACCAAAATCAAACCCGGGTTCAAAAATATTTCCCTGAACCGAACCAACCTATTTTTTTTTAGCCTTAAACCGAACCCGAAGCTAACCCTGGAAAAAATTTTGCCGGGTTCGTATCCCTGAGTAAATTTATCTCAATGTATTTAAATTATTAGTATTTTTTGGGATGAATGTTTATTTTGCATATTTCCAATTACCAATTGAATTTATTTTGAAAAAAGGAACTTTTAATTTTAATTTAATTATGAGATTCACAATTTAGTTAAATAGATTTTTAAAGCATTTTGTGTTTCTTATTGCTGTTTACAATCGCAAAATCATTTTTTTTGGCGTTTTATATATTTTTCTTACTGTTCTAGTGTATTAATAAATATAATTAATCAACTTCGAAAGTAATTTATTTATCTAGAGATAATTTATTTTGCGATTTATAAGATTTTTTTTACAGCTCTGGTATATCTACAATTGAATGACTTTGACAGCATTTTATTCATCTAGAGATCATTTTTTTTTGCGTTGTAACCAATGACATATATAATACCTAGACTGACGATTCATTCATTAAAATGCATTTTTAAGCGTCGTTAAAACAAATCAGCTGGACCCGCCATTTTGGTAACATATATAGTAATTATTCTCATGTTAAAAACTACTATTAAATTGATAACTTGCTTCCTTATTATCTCGATGATCCAGTAATTCTTTAATAAAGTTTGCATCAAATATGGGAATAAATTAAGCTCTCGTTTAAAATTTTAATGATTAGTGTAACCAAGATGGCGTCCCCAGCTCATTTGCATTGGTGTACACTTTTAATGAATGAATCGTCAGTCTAGGTATTATATGTCATTGGTTGTAACATAAGTAATTTGTTTATTTTAGAAATTAAATATTTAAAAAAATTACATTTTGATTTATAATCTTCTATATTTATTTTTTTTCAACCAATTAAAACACCGACTATCTTCAATAGAACCAACCGGGCCCAAACGAAAACCCAGTACAATATATCTTTATACTATAAAATAGTTTAGAGATGTAAAAAATAAGATATAAAGGCCAGTGATATACATCGGGCGGCCCTAAATTTTTTTTGTCATAGCCTGAACCAACATTATTTTTTCAAAAATTAGGATCACCTAATACCAAAGTAAATTTGGACTCCAGGAAGGGGTGATCGGGCAGGGCTGTAGATCACTGTTAATAAATAAACTAGTTCTTTTTTGATTGAATTTTGGTATTAGAAAGATGTTCGTAATTTTGGATAAAGCCAATTTCCAGATAAAAAAAGATCTTAGCTGAATGAAGGTCGATTATTAGAATTCGACTCCATCTTTAAAACTAATTTTTATTTTAAATAAATGAATTAATGTGTCTATAAATCTTTCGTATAGATATTTATGGACTTAATAAGCGTAAGCACTTATAAATGTAAATTAAAAGGGTTAAGCTTTTTTTAGAATTAATTGTAAGCCATTTTAAAAATGACAATCTCGTAAAATCACAAAATTTGGACAGGCCTAAAATAAAAAATATTCTAAAAAAAATAAGTTTCGCTGCTTTTTTACACAAATAATTAGTGATTTATATTTTATTTAACTTAATGAAAAAATGTGTTTAATATTTTTCAATTAAAATTTTTTGACGGGGCAGTCTGTAAAAGTAATTCAGGCATCGAAAAAGATAAATAAAAATTTGGGATTAGGTTAGGTTTTTAACAAAAATTTCTGGTTTCTGGCTTAAAAAAAATTGAATTTACAAGACGTTAACAGTGTCTTGGAAAGAAATATTCTTCAGAATAAACCGATATTTTAGAAACTTGTAAAATATCAAATGAATGTCATTGGCATTGATGTAAAATCAATAATAGCCAATCTCCAAAAAAAATATGGTTGCTAGGTGCTACCACATCAGAAATGAAAAATAATTTTTAGAAACTATATTTATTTAATTTTTAAAAGAAATCATGAAAAAACATGTCTAGTTTGTATGGTATAATCAAATAACTTCCTTACAGTCAATGAAAAAATCTCAAAACCCTCCATTTTCCCATTGGATATTAATTTTTGATTTATATATAAAATTACTATATTTGTATAGATTTATGGATAAAATTTGGTCTTGCTAACTAATTACCTTAGATAAAAAAATCAGGTTAATTCTGTTCTATAATAATAAAGCAAATATTGCATAAAAATAGATTAAAACTAAGAATATAATAAAAGAATTTTTGTCAAGTATAATTAAACTGATTATGTGAACAAAAAGAGAAGTCAAATAAGCCATATCCCCTCATACAGCCAAAGACCAGGCTATTTTTCCACAATTTTAATGTTTAAAAATATACAATTTTATATTATCTCTTTTTTAGGCGGTAAGGGGTGCATCTAAACATTGCAGCCTAAAGTTATAAATATCACCCCCCCCCCCAATATCAATAAAAAATGAATTGGACATTAAATTTTATTTTGTAAAACTTTAAAATAAAATAAATCATGAGTAATATAATATACATTTCTTGCTAAAAATTTTCTTTGAGTTTTTTTAAGTTCATTTTTACATTACAATAAATTATGAATTGATTTTATAATGTTATATGTTGCATTGTATAATTTGATATAAAAAAAATATATTAATTTGTCATGTATAAAATTAATAAAAGCTGCAAATATCAAATGACAGATATACAAATGCATCTATTACTTTAATTTATAAAAAAATATTTAAAAAATTTATATATAGTATTTAAAATGTTCTAATCTATAAAACTTTGAGATGATAATAAAAAAAATTTTAAATGTATAAAAAAAATACTATAATTTTAAACATTAATATATAATTCACATGAATCTCAACGTAATATAATATTTCCCAAGATTAAAGCAAATGATTTTAAAATTCTATATGCTTAAATTTTGTAATATGTATCATAAACAATAAAACCAGTCATAAAAGAAAACCCAACTATTAAAAATATAACTTTTAACAATCTGTTTTGGGATGAATTCATTTCATGAGGTAAAAGCTCAAAAAAGGTAACATATAAAAATGTGCCACATGCTATTCCTTGCAATATAGCACTAGTTAAAACTACCCAGGGCTTTGGATTATGTTTGCTTATATCATGAATCTCTTCTTCCATTAATATGTTGCTTCCATGTTTAGTTTCATCAAAAAATGATTGAATCAATATTCCACTTTTTAAATCAATATTATTAAAACGATGTGTGTTATTAGGTAGGTATGCTATTATATTTTGATAATTTAAATTTGATTGTGATATGTTTTCCTTTGGTAGGTTTAACAAAATATTTTCATCATAACTATTATTACCAAGATCATCTTCTAGCATGAATGTCAAAGCTATACCAAGGGGTGACATAGAGCTAAATATAGCACCACATACAACTAAATGAGGCCAAAACTTTATTTTTCGAGATGTCGATTGAACCAAATTGAGCCCAAGACTAAAAGCTACTGTTATCTTGTGGAAACAAAGAGCACCAAATAGGGATAAAATTCCTGCACCAGTGGGTTGAAGTGCTACTGCCATTCCTTCAAAGAGTGAATGAACAGATAATGAAAGAACAAGAATATAAAGTCTGAAAGGAGGATGGCCACACTCTTCATCAGCTGATAAATGATGAACTGGATGGTGATGATGATGATGTAGAGATTTATTTGATCTAAGTCTAGGAGTGACTTTTGAATCAGACTTTCGAGTTATATCAGGATGTAAGAACAATGATGTATCTTTAGCATTTGTTGTAAACTCCTCATCATGGTCATACAATAAGAGATCATGACTGTCATTAATAACTTCCATATATTCAGGGGTTTCAGCAATATCATTTGCATTATGTGATTTTATAGGGTGGTCTGGTGATTTATAAAGAATAGGAGGATCAAGTTCATCATTTAATTCTTCATTTATTGAAAATTTAACTAATGAACCAGTGTTATGCCTTATACGAGATCTAGTTAAATTGGATTCTTTGTCATATAAAGAACAAGGTGTTTGATGGTCAATAGTATTACATATTTTGTGCAAAAGGGAAGTGCTTGGATGTAAAGAGTAATCACTGCTATTTTTATCTGTAAGATTATTATGGTCAGTATTAGGGCTAATTGAACCATACCCATAGTTATTATTATCTGTGGAGTTCTTATGTAATAATATTGGTAATTTTTCTCTATCCTGATCATCAATAATATTGTCTTCTAAACCTCCATTTGAATAATTTTCTTGGTGGACTAAAACTTTAACATTATGTATGTGATTAACATTATGTATATGATTTTCTGATTTAACAATTGAATTTATATTAGGATCAGTTTTACTTGATAGATTAGTATGAGGCATTGCTGAAAAATGAGCATGATTTGAATGTGGTTGACTTCTAGAGCTTCTAAAATATTTTTCTTTAAAGACCAAAGCAATTTGTTCAATAATTAGAATAAGAAAGATTCCAAATACAACTACAAATTCAGAGACTGGAAATCCTTCATTAATATCATTTGAATCAATTTTTTTATCATGACGTGGGTAAATATTATATAATTTAAGAGCCTTTTTCATTATAGTTCTCACTTCTGGCAATAAGTCCAAAAAACATGTTGCCAAGAATACGCCAGCAGCAAAACAGTTTAGAAAAGAAAATACCCTTTCATATATTAATCTCTGAATATTATTTTGATGTGATTGAGCAAAAGATAATATCCTATAAGGCAGGAGTACAAATATAAAGGATAATACTAATAAGACTATTAATAAAATTATTTTTAGTGAGTGAATATCTATCATTGATGAGTATAAATATTTATTGAATCTAAAAGTAAAAATAATTTAAAAATAAATGAATAATATATAATACCTATTGGTTGAAATTAAATATTATCATATATAAAACCCAAGTGGCCAAGTCTATCGATTGAGATTGATACCGCGCTAAAATTTTCATAAAATGATGAATCCGATATACTAATAATAAAAAGTAGCTCAACAATTTACTAAACAACGACCAATTTTAAGGTAATTTTAATGTATAACAATTAATTATTTTAAAATTTAAACAAGACTCATTATACCAGAAATTTTTATAAAACAGCACTCTCTTTTGCTATTTAGAAAAGTCTTTTTTTAGATTAGACCCATAATTTTGGGGAGTGGCGAAAACCTTGTCAGTTTTATATCAATATGAATTAAAAATGTTTAGAATCGGGCATTTCAAACTATTAGAAAAACACTTTTCTGATAATTTATAACCACAAATATAGTTTGAGAAAGCGATAGTAATAATGTGAAATTTTTATAGAGAAGAGAATATCTCGAACAATTCTCCCACGAACACTTGAAAGAATACATATAGCAAAACTTTTTCTTCTATAGAAAATTTTATAGCGCAAAAATTTTTAACAAAAATTATCGTGAACCCCTTATATATAGCGAATTTTAAGGAAAACCTTTATCGCGATTACATTATATCAAATATATTTTTCCGCGAATGTGATTGTGTAAGGTCATTATCTTTGTCGCTAAATGATTATTATATTATTAATAGGCTTATTCAGAGGAAAACAACATAATCAATAATAGTTTAGCCATCTAATTGAATAAAAGGAGGAAATGTTCTATTTCATTATCTATTGGCTATCAAGTATGAGTTGGCTTTTAAATGCGATCTTTTCTAATGTGATAAAAATATAATTTATCAAATATTTCATCCCTCTCTCATTATCGTATAATAGGAATATTAATTATATTTTAAAACCTATTAATTATACCCTTTCCCCTCTAATATAAATTATAAAAAAAAATGCACATTATCTTTATGCAATAAAAATTAAATTTTGACAAACATAAATAAGTTTTTTTCCTCAATTAATATTCCAAAATTAACGTGCACCCGACTAAAAAATTTTTTTTGTTTCAATATTAATATTTTTTGCAAATTTTTTATTTCACAATTTAAATAAAATTTAGATTCAATATACATCACAAATAATAGATAATCAAACATTCATGAATATTTATTGAAATATAAATTGGTTGTATTGAATTTTATGAATAAAATGGTCCGGACAGTGCAAACTCATGATGTTGATATAGAAATAAAATGTCATTTTTAAAATGTCATTTTCTGCTCGAGTATTTATCATTCTTACATAGTTTATATTATTATCCTTCAGTCGATTAATACTTGAAGAAAAAAATGTGTTTTAATTATATACATAAATTATAATATTTACTTTTTCTCCAGCAATGAAAAGCTGTCATATTATGAGATTAGCATCGTTGCAAATCAATCAAAAATAAAATTAAAAAAAATTAAATATTGAATTAACTCATAATTTTTTTTTTAATAATTCAAAGATTTTATTTCATACTCTCATTAAAAAACATATTTTAATAAACTAAATACATTGATAAAATATAATATTTTCAAATTAACATACTATATCTATAATCAATTAAATAAAAATTTTAAAAAATTTTAGTTATAAAAATAATTACTTATTTAAAAAAAAATTCCTTTTATTCACCCATTTAAAAATAATAGATTAAAAAACAATTCTATTTTTACCCTCGATGTTGGTGTTATTGTTTTTTTTTGTATTTTTTCCCATTTTCTATTTCGTTTTTTAATATTTTTTTCAATTTTTACTTATTTGAATATTTTTTTCGTTTTAATGTTTTTTTCAAGGATCCAAACCGAACCTGAACCGAACCGCTAAAATGCCTCTGAACCAGTTCGAGTCTCATAATTTTATGCTTATAAAATAATGTGTAAGTTATTACTAGTAGTATATTGCAAAAATTTTAATTATATTCAAATTGTTTTAAAAATTATTATCAATCACATTTGATTGATAAACGTCAGTCATAATTTTTATAAACTTTAGTATATTGCCATTTTACAACATTTTTAAATATTTTAAGCTTGTAAATATTAATGCTAGAAAAAAATTAAATCTAATATATAAATTATTTATATATAGTATTATAAATGACACATCAAATCTGATGTCATACTGGCAATGCCAGCTACCCAAGTTAGTGTGGAAAGATGTTTTTCAACAATTAAATTTATATTCTCTCCTTATAGATGTAATTTGAGTGAGACGAATTTTGAAAATATATTAATTGTGCGGCTTAATAAAAAAATTTTAAGTAAATGTTCATATTAAAATTATTCATTGATATTTTATTTGTCATATTTATAAATTAAATATTATTTTATAATGTTAAATTTATAAAAATGAAGGTTTCTATTTTAATTATATAAAAAAAATTTTCCTTATACATAATCCTAAAGTAGGTTTGAATACAAAAGTGTTCAAACCGGTTTTTAGAGGTTCGAACCGAACCGATATTTTTATTTTTTGCGAACCAAACCTGAACCTTGAACCGTTATTTGTATCCGAACCTGAACCTGAACCAAACCGATATTCGTTTCGGTTTGGATCACTGGTTTTTTTCTATTCACAATAAATTTGCTTAGTAAAATATTTATATTTTCTCAAATTTTTCTAAAAATATCATAGGAAAAAATATTAAATCGTCAAAAAAAATCTTTTTTCCTTTTAAGTGATTTTAGCTTTAGTGATTATTATTTCTTTATTTGTCTTATATATTTATTAATTTGGAGAGAAGAATTTCTTTAGGTCAAATTTGTTTTTTTTAGCATAATAATTTTATAGTGGTATATTAAATGAAAGCCAATTTTAAAAATAAAGGGATAATAATCATCATTCCAAGTGCTCGGGTCTAGTTTATGAGTTGAGAGGAGATTAAAAATATTACCCGAAAAATATATGAAGGCAAATAAAAAGTTAAGTTATATTACAAAAAGCTACCCTATGTCATAAATATAAACTTCTAAAAATTAAATATAAATAATAAGAATATTTTTAATTTACAAAATTATTTTAGTAACTTGCAAAAAAAATTAGCTATATAATTTAAATGGAAAAATAATTAAATTTGAAATGATCATTAGTGAAGAATTACATAGAAAACTTTTCATTAAAAATTGAATGTCTGAATCTGAAATTATATATGGAATATTTAGAAGATATTGAAAGATATTTTTATATAATGAGGAAATGATTAAATCCATATGTTTAATTCGAAAATTGACAGCAATCATTACCAAAGGTAATAATAAATCACAAAGTTGTTATGATAATGGAAATAGATGATTTTATGAAAAACATGTTGGGATATGATGAAATGGAAACAGTAGTAGCGTTAGCAGGAATTTGGTGTGGGGGGGGGGGGATAATTAAAATTTTTTAAAATAAAATTATTGTTATTTAAAAATATCAAGCATAAATTTATTAGGACTAATAACTATTTCTAACATACAAATTTAAATTACTATGAATTATAAAAAATTAAATATATAAACCGATATATAAAAATAAATTTGATTTAAAAAATATTAAACGAATATAACCGGCGGCATATAAATACTTTAAATAAATCTAAATTATAAAATATTAAGTGGATATAACCAGGATATGATGACTATAAAATAAATACTCCATATAGAAATTTAATTTTTTTGAGCTTTTAAAATTTATATATAAACTATAAAAAATCTAAATGTTGGAAATATGAATAATTATATTTTTATGTAAAAGAAAAATATATAAGACATTAAAAAATGATAGCACAAAAAATATTATAGAAACATTATATTTTTATAATGTAAAATCCAATCTTCGTTGGGAAGGAGCTAATTTTTCAATTATCTCATCCGTGTTTGGCGTCAAATGCCTATGAATATTCAAAAGGGCCGGACCATTCAACCTACTTTCAGAAGTTGTACTTCTTAGGTACGTTTTTAATCTTCTTAAAGAAGAGAACGTTCTCTCATTAGTTGCAATACTAATGGGAAGAGTTGCTAATATATATAATAATTTCAATATATTGGGAAAATAATCTAAAAGATGTTTGAAATGATGCAAAGCATCATAGCATTTTTTGGGACTATATCAACCATAGTTAATCTTTTATACCATAGTTGGCTTCAGCTAATAAAGCATCATGAGATACATTAATGTCTTCATGATAAAAATCTTCCAAATATTTTATTTTTTTTCTATCACCATCTGAAAAAGGTTCAGAGGGCTTTTGCGGAAGTAATATCTGCAGATTGATAAGTGTTTCTTGATAAATTAAAAACCTTTCATTTACTTGGGTTATAAATGTATCCAAAAGAGGTATAAAGACATTTATTTTATAATATTCTTCTATTGACCCTATATTAATATTTGGACGATAAGTTTGCCTTACTGTAAGTCGAGGGAGACAAATATTGAACTCGTATAGCTCTGCTTTTGATTCAACATTAACATATAAAATATGAAATTCCTCATCAGCATTAGCTCTAATTTCTTTGAGTTCTAATAAAATTGTCTCTGCTATTCTCATCATCTCAATCAAATCAATATCAGGTTTTTGAAAAGTATTACATAAAATAGTTGTATAATAAAATAATTTATTAATACATTCTAATGCAAAAAAAAATTTGGTATAAGTATTGAATCTAGTAACTTGCTTGCTTCTGAAGAAATATCTTTTTCAGACATTGTAATATTTCTATAAGAGCATTAATAATCGGCTCTTCTAACTCGATAAAAGCTGTTACTGCTTGATATCGAAGACTCCATCTTGTTGGACAAGCTTTTTGCAATTTTTTTCTCCTTGTTTAGCAAGGAGTTTCAGATATAATTCTGTTCAAAATATTTTAACGCTTGGGGTATCTAAGCATCTCATAGATGCTAGATATTTTACCTGATATAAATATAAAAAATTTAAATAATTAAAAACCTAAGCAATTTGATATCAATAGTAAAGAACATTAATTCGATATTGCTAAGTTGAGTGAATGGGCAGCACAGTGAACATATATAGCTGTTGGGCATTTTTTTTAATAAATG